GTAGATGAGCAATAATTTCATGCCTATAATTTGTTTTGGGTTCAGCCGAGTAGTATTTACCTTTGTTATGATCTATTGATGTGGATAATAATTTCAAATATTTATTTCATCCTTTCAGATCAAATTAGTTGTTCCAACACAATGGAAGCCGTGTCTGTGGTTGCTCAACCTCTTTTGTCAGCTACTTTTGAATGGATGATCCAAAAACTGAATGGTTTCATTCCCAGCAATTCCCAGGGATTACAGGAAGAGGTCTATGCTGATTTGGAAAAATGGAGGAATTTGCTACCGCTAATCCGTGGTTGGCTCAAAGATGCAGAAGAGAAGCAACTCTATGAAGAATTCGTGAAGATCTGGCTTGATGATCTCAAGGACTTGGCTTATGATATGGAGGACATTTTTGAGGAATTCAAGGTTGGCGTCAATGATCAGGGGAGCACCTTGGTAGCAAAACCTCAACAAGCCAGCAGCAGCAGATTTATCCCAGCTACATGCTTCTCTTGTGTCAAAGGCAACAATTTCATGTTTGATTCCAAAATCATTTCTAAGGTGAAGGATATTTCTAAAAGGTTGAAAATTTTGGTTGACACATCCAAATTACTCGGCCTAGAGACTTTAAGAGTGCAAGCTGGAGGACGACCCAACAGAGTAGATGCAGGAAGGAACACCACTTCTCTGCCTGATTCTTATGTTTGTGGTCGGGGGAGTGATAAAGCGGATATTATTCAAGAGTTGCTTGATGACGGAGGCAGTGATAAAGGATATTCCGTAGTTCCCATTTTTGGAATGGGAGGTGTTGGAAAGACAACATTAGCTCGCCTTATTTACAATGAGGTGGGGGGAAGCTTTCACCCCAAAGCGTGGGTCTGTGTTTCTAATCAATTCAATATTCTGAGCATAACAAGATCAATTTTAGAAGCAGTATCTGATGACCGGTGTGATTTGAAAGATCTAAATCTGCTTCAAGAAAGATTGAAGGAAAAATTATCTTATAAGAAGTTTCTTCTTGTTCTGGATGATGTTTGGAATGAAGACTTAGTTCAATGGGACAGCCTGCAAAAACCTTTTCAATTAGGATCAGCTGGAAGCAAAATAATTGTTACAACTCGTAATCAAAATGTTGCAAAAACCATGGATAGCAAAGCCAAGATTCACCGGTTAAAACCATTAGAATTTGAACAATGCTTGCCAATTCTAGCTCAGCAGGCATTAAGAGAGAAGAACTTTGATGCACATCCAAATTTGAAAGAAGTTGGTGAAGAAATTGTTAAAAGGTGCAAGGGATTGCCGTTGGTTGCCAAAGTCATAGGGGGCCTCTTACAACGTTCGCTTGATCTGGAATATTGGAAATACATAAACAATAAAATGTTGAATTCACAAGCCCAGGAAAGTGGGATTCTACCAGAGTTGATGCTAAGCTATCATGATCTTCCTTCTTATTTGAAGCAATGTTTTGCATATTGTGCTTTGTTCCCTAAAGACTACCCATTTAAGAAGGATGAGTTAGTTATGTTGTGGATGGCAGAGGGACTCTTGTGGCGAAAACCGGGGGAACAAAATAGATTGGAAGAAATCGGGCATCAATATTTTTGTGAGTTACTTTCAAGATCATTTTTTGAGCAGTCTAGTGGGAAAGAATTAGAGTATGTAATGCATGATCTCATACATGATTTGGCTCAATTTGTTGCTGGAAGAACATGCCACAACCTACAGACTATGTTGGAGGTTGATAAGAAATCTAAAGTGAAATTTGAGAAGGTCCGTCATTTATCATTCCATAGTGGTTTTTATGACATCTCTGAGAAATTCGAAGTTCTGAAAGAAATGAAGAGTTTACGGACAC